TGCCTGTACTGGAGAGCGAGTCATATTTTAAGGCAGTCAAAAGGTTCATTTTTTACTTTAAGGCTCTTGCATACTTAAATTTATTCTATGCAGACATTCTGTGTAATTTAAATATTCATAAAATGGTCAATTATGGAAATCAAAGCCTTTATAAAAAGCAAATGGACAGTTTAGAACTAGATTATAACACTACCCCCTCTCAATTTTTTTAAAAGATGATTTCATATATCTCATTCTTTTGGAGAATTTCTTCATTATCAGAAGCTGGCAATAAAAGGAAGAAAATATAACACAAATACATTACAAAAGTTATGCCTACTCACACCATACCAAAAATATATAGTCAATATTTCGAATAATTGCATAACAAAAACATTTTTTCTTGGTTACTATCCATTAATTGTATAATATTTAAAATTTAATTTGGCCATGTATATAGATTCTAAACAATTTACATTGCAAATAAGGCCTGAAAAGTAATTTAAGCAGAAGTTTCCATACAATGTATTGATATAATATTTCATCAATAATTTGTAGAAATGATATATATATGAAATAGCAAGGGTTTAACCTCATTCACTACCCTTAATAATCCAAGTGTTCATTAAAGTGAAACCAGTTGAAATGTAACCAATTTACTATTTACTTTGTTCAAGCACTGAGTCTGATAACTTCTAAAAGTGCAGAAATTTAAACATTTTAAAATTAAAAATTAAATATTACTTGTGTTCATAAAATTAATATGATACATGGCAGGGTTACATAAGATAAAAGCAAAGGGAAATATCTCTTTAGGATCAGAAACAATTAGCTTTCGTATATTTCTGTTGTATTTACAAATTCACTTTCATTGAAAATAATCACTTTAATTTCAGTAATAGAATTTTGCAACATATGCTCTAGTTTGTTGCTTCCACTACTTTCCAATGTAATTTGGTATTTTCAGGGTTTAGGAAAATGTGCCAATTATAATTTTATTCAAACAATATGCTCTACTACATTTTTAGTTTTCTATGTGAAAAATATTACCTTAGGATTTGCTTTATAACTAACTTCATAATTTTTCAAAAAAGTAAATAAAAAATTTACCAATTAAAAAATATTGAATGTGAAGTTATTTACAAAACTTTCTTATGCTACAAGCCATGTATATATATATATATGCTCAGTGAAATATTTGGTAAACAAAAGATTTTGACAGTGGTCTTTATAACTGCAGAAATATGAGCTTTGAGACATGCTATTTTCTTAAAAGCATTCAGTTAATTATTTTTCTAAGAATGCTTATATAGTAGTACACTTCTCTTTTCAATACAGCACTTCTTTCAATACATACAGCTAGGTACGTCTATAATTGCAAACAGAAGCTGAATGATTGATCTTAAAGGCCACAAAATTTCTGCAAATACCTAATACAAAAAGTATACGAGATAATTTGATTTGGGGAGAGATTTATTGTTCCAAGAGACTTGCCCATTATTAATTTGAAAAAAATATACTAAATCCATAAGAAACAAAAAGCAATCTGCAAAAGATTCATTCCAAACCTACGCATGGGTGACTCTACTGTCATTCATTTTATCACCCACATAGAGCAGAATTAGGAACAGGACAGAAATATCAGAAGAAAGGAATTTCAAAAGAAAAAAAAGAGGTATAAAAGCAATCTTTCAGAAAAGAGAGGAAAAAAAAAAAGTAATCTTCCAATAAATAGGACATTGGGGAGCAGATATCAGTGAAACACTAAGTAATTTATTTTTTTTAAAGATGACCGGTAAGGGGATCTTAACCCGACTTGGTGGTGTCAGCACCACACTCTCCCAATTGAGCTAACCGGCCATTCCTATATGGGATCCGAACCCATGGCCTTGGTGTCATCAGCACCACACTCTCCCAAGTGAGCCAGAGGCTGGCCCTTAAATAAAATTTGTATAGCAAATACAACTTGTAATTTCATAGCTGAACCTATCAGTTTTTAACCTATTATTTTTTCTATTTCTTCCACATGCATGTTTACATTTTGGCTATATGACATTTCTCTACAGGGGATACTGACTTATGTCACCCCAAACCTGTGTTATACAAGACTAAAACTTTTCATTTTTGATTACGTACTATAAGGGCATCACTTATCAAGAAATTTTTATTTGTGGCTATAATTATCTTTAGGTCAAATTAAAATAAGCCTGAGAGATTTAGCTTTTAATTATTGTTTAGATGTAGCTTTACTGTACTTTTAAAGATGTCTCTCATTTAATTGTCAGACCTTCAAATTTATTCAGAAACTCTGCCTTAAATCTTTCCAGAACAGTTGGAAAGATCTATCACCTGTAGATTTACTCGTTATTTTAAAAGTTTAAGCAAATGTTTGTTAACAGCATCTCCTTATTTAGAGTATGATTTTGTTTTTCTAGGTTTATCCAAGAGGATCTTAGACTTGGAATATATTTCTTCTTTCTCTTTATCTGAGAATAGTGACTTAGTCAATACCTTAACTGTGAATATTTTTCTTCTACATTTTTCCCCTCTGAACAGGAATGTTTTAAAAAATTATTGGGCCTACTGAGCTATTTTTCTAAAACACTGTATCTTTCAAAACACATATCCTATTAACAATAGTGTTTTTAATTAAAAAAAAAAAAAGTTCTACCCAGTTTCAATTTTTATACAAACATTAAATCATTGAATCTCCTATGATCCAAGCATCAGATATGCTACCTTCTAAAGATAGCAAAACTGAATGACATAGGTTAAATTGGCGTCTACCAGTCATCTAGTAAGTAAGATAAAGGAAAAGAGGTTTCAAAGGGGTAACACTAAATTCTCTATTGTGTTCCTTTTTGGAGGTGGCTGGCCAGTACAGCAAACTGAATGCTTAACCTTCGTGTTCCAAGGCCTTGCTCTAAACTGAGCTAACTGGCCAGCCCTAACACTAAATTCTTTCACTAGCCTCATTAACATTCTCATAAAATAGTTACTAAATAATATAATAGATTTAATAAATGAAATTTCCAAGAAACTTCAACTAATAAGAAAAGGTGGGATTATAAGATTAGTTTTTGTTTTACTAATTACAACTATTACCTGGAAATATTTACATATTATCTAGGAAATAAAGTTTATACATTTTTCTTAGGATTGTTTTTAAAAGTAGTATTTCCTCAAATATTAATGTAACAGTAATCCTAAAAGTAATTCAGAAAATAAAACTTGTTTATCACTTGAGTATATTTTATTAATAATGAGGTAAAGTTTTTATTTTTTTCTATAGAACTATGTTGAATAGCAACATAAGTTATTAAAATATTAATTGTGCTTGAGGATTAATATGAATTACAAAATTATACATGTTCACAATCTTTTTCTACTCCTAAAGCAATCATGTACGAGTATATACATTATTTCCTAATATCTAAATAAGATAAAAATCTTGAATAATCCTAAAGTAAGTACTGAATTATCTTGATAATCCTGTTGTCCCCTACTCGAGTTAATGTGTTCCCATGTTGTGGGGAAATGAATACTGAAATGGGAATGAAGAAGCTAATATTTCTAGGTCACAGTGCTTCAGAATCACATTCTGTCTTGGACCTCAGCTCTCTAACCAAAATTAAAAAGTTACCTTTATGTTCCTAAGGTTTCTTCCAGCTCTAAAGTTCCATGATTTGAAAGTAAATTTACCTTCTGTGGTAGTTTCTTTTAGTTTTCCTTTCTTTTTTTCTTTTGGCAGCTGGTACAGGGATCTGAACCCTTGACCTTGGTGTTATAACACTCTGCTCTAACCAACTGCTGTTTCTTAAATCTTACCCTAATACATTTAATTACACCTACCTAAATACATCAAAAAGGTTACCTCTAATCTTATTTCCCTGATGGATTTAGTATTAGCTCCTAGTTATATTTGTCTAGAAGCACAACTGAAATAGTACATAACTGAAGGAAGTAAACTTTTATATTATATTCTATTTAACATTTCTAATAGGAATAAAAAGTTAGATCGTGTTATAATTTAATTTCAGAAGACCTTGGGTTTACTTAAAGAATTCAAGAGCTGTTGCATAATACAAGGTCCTTTAAAATTTAATCCGAACATGGGCCGGCCCGGTGGCGCACTGCTACAGTGCCGCTTGGGAAGTGCGGCGGCGCTCCCGCCGAGGGTTTGGATCCCACATATAGACCGGCCGCTCACTGGCTGAGTGAGGAGCGGGGGCAACACCGAGGGTTGCGATCCCGTTGCCGGTCCCGGTCCAGTACGGGCGCGACACTGAGGGTTGCGATCCATTGCCAGACACGAAAAAAGACAAAAAGGAAAAAAAAAAAAAAATTAATCTGAACATAATATCTTTTTTTTTTTCCCCTTTTTGTCTTTTTTCGTGTCCGGCAACGGATTGCAACCCTCAGTGTCGCGCCCGCACCTCGCTCAGCCAGTGAGCGGGAACCGGTCTGTATGTGGGATCCGAACCCTCGGCGGGAGCACCGCCGCGCTCCCAAGCGGCACACTGTAGCAGTGTGCCACCGGGCCGGCCCCGAACATAATATCTTAATGTATCAAACGTAGCTAATGTGAAATTCAATTCTTGACAGAGGGTTAAGGACAGAAAGCATCAGAAGCAATGCATATTTTGGGGGGTGGGAGGCGCTACTAGTTTTGCTACCGAAATATCTCAGGTGTAAATCACAACATTTAAAAACTGCTACCAGTTGCCTTAAAGGATGGGTACATATCAAAACCAGGATGAAAATGTCAAATAAGTTTGAAAGGAACATTTTCTTATCATTCCCAGAGTCCAAATTTCCTATGAAACAAAAGAAAATATGTACACAAGTCCTCGCACTATTGAGTTCTCCCTAACCCCCAAGAACATAAAAGGCTGTAACAACTTTACATTAGAGTTTGACTTTTCACATAAAACCCCAGTAAATATTAATATTTAAAGAACAATGCATACAAATTGTTTTATGTGTAAGCTATCTTAGCATAATGAAATTATGAGCAAAGATACTGGCATCTCAACAGGTGGCTTTAATGTTAAAATCTCACAACAAAGGAGGTATGCTTGCTCAGGAAAATAATGCACTTTAATGTAATGAAAAGGACGTTTAATACACACAAATTAAAAAAAAAAATTTCTACAAACTGGTTAGTTGGTAATATGCTACTCAAAAATTGCTTTTCAAACCTGAAGAACTTAGCTTGCTTTATTATTTCTTTATACTATCAAAAAAGTTTTGCCACAAAATGAATATGGACAAAGAGATAGACCACTGACATACTTACAATTAGAAAATACCTAAAACCCACTTACAATTGACTAAAAAAAAACAGTTAAAAGTAATTAAAAAATTTTTTATTTTAAAATTAAGGAAAAAGTTAATCTGGTTATAGTTGAGATTTTAATTATCATTCTTTCAAGATTATGAATGGGAGAGTTAAATGCTTGAAACATTTTATGTTATTTTCATTTTCATTTAAGAGTAAGAAAAAAAGAAAGCATGACTACACATGGCCATGTTATTATAATTCAAAGGAAATCATTGTCAAGTCACACACCTCATGGTAATAAAACAGAGCAAAACCAAAAAAGTAAACAAAATAGAATTCCTCTGCCAACACAAACTTTAAAGTCTCTTCTGAGGGGTTTCCATTATGTATCTGGTTAATGGTAACAGATTCTACAAAGGCAAATAAAACATGAGAAATAACGTATCTTTTTTCTTGAATAAGAAAGCTGTTATTTATGTGACCTTAAAAAACTCTGAATTTGTAAAACTCATTTATAATTTAATCAAATGTTCTAGTTATTTACTCCCTTGGTATAAAAGTTTACAGATGAGTTTCATATTCCATCACAGTTACATGGTCTAGTGCATTTCAGAGTATTTGGACATTATCAAAGCTGTCCTTTCCCAATGAAAACATTTAAGAAAACATTAAGCACTTCCCAAACAAGTGACATGATGTAGAAATACTTACACTTTTGGCTCTCACCTCTTTAAGTACAAATGTATTATTTACCAAAGCAAAACTGTTCAACTATTTTACAGTATCTATTAAAAAGAAGTTCTCTATTAGATAGAGGACGCTACAGTATCCTGAAGCTGTTTCCCAAGAGCTAGTTTTGTAGATATAACTTTGGGCTCATCTTGTTTTTCCTTCCTATCTTTTTCTTTTTCCATAAAGTAACTTTTCATTATACACATACTATACCATCATCGTTCACTGGATTGAGATTAGCTGGGAAATAGCTGCATATTTTTTAGTGAGTTCACTGATGCCAATGGCCTTCTTAGATCATGCTGGTGCTTATGGTTAAATCACATCTAATGTGAAATTTTGAATTACATCCAAAGCTCCAGTATCAAAGCCACACATATCCAACATGCCTCTGTCATCTGGGTCTGCAATGGTAAAACCATTTGATGTCATTCCACAAACAATCAATTTAGCTGGAATATCCATGAGCTGTAGGAAAAAAATCAAAATACATATTAAAAACTTCCAAAATAAAACACTTTAAAATCTCGCTACCACAGCTTTTTATTACAAAGTCAGTTGTTTTTGGTCAATCTTTTAAGCCCAGACTATGTGATCTTTAGAAGAATGGAAAATAAAATTGTGTTAAGAACCAGCCTGAAATTTCTAATTCTTTTGTTCTATATTTTTACTTGTCCACAGGCTGCAGAGGCACAGTACATTTTGAGCAGCCTCAGGACTTTGTACTTCTGAAACCTGTCAGGATATTCAGGGTGCCAGACATTTTTATCACCATATCAAACACTGGGACAATGTGTGGGGGGTATATTAAATAGGAGGGGTCTTAAAAAGGTTTATGGAAAGATTCATATTATCTTTTAATTTTATTTTTCTACAAACTTTTTGAAGTGCCTTCATATAAAAACATATTTATCTGAGATTATCAACTTTTGGTCTACAACTTTGATATGTACAACACATACATGTCCCATGTAAAAACTTATTCTCTATAGCCATATTTAAGGTTAAAATAAAAACCAACAGTGATTGAATGTACACTGTGTCAGACACTGCAATGAACTCTTTAAATAATATAGCTGATGTAATTGTTATACCAACCCTAAAACATTAAGTAATATTACCTACTGTGATGTATATCAGTTAAATAATTTGCTTAGGTCCCAGTTAGTATAAGAGAAAGATTCAGGATTCCAAAGCCAGGCAGGCTGTCTTTATTCCAAATTCTGTTCCCTCACCTGTGATTCTCAAACTTAAGCATCAGAACCCTCGGAGGGCTTGTTAAAACATAGTCCCACCCCCAGAGTTTGATTCAGCAGATGTCCAATGGGGCCTAGGTGATGCTAAGGCTATTAGCCTTAGGGAAACCACACTGTGAGAACCACTGCTCTTCATCAACAAGTTCTATTTCTACTACTAGCTGCACTGGTTGCATTTCAAGTGCTCAACAGTCCCATGTGACTAGTCACTACCCTACTGGAGAGTGCAGATATAGAACATTTCTATCATTTCAGAAAGCTCACTTGGAGGGCACTGATGAGAACATAAATATGTCCATAAAACTGAGAACACATATTATATCTTTGCTTTAGTTTTACACAGTCCTTTAACAAAACTCACAATTGATACTTATTTAAAGAGCACATTGAATCATTACAAAACTGTATAGCTAAGTAAAATAAATATTGTCATTACTACCAAAAATATTGTTTGTAAAGGACATTCTTAGTAATGTTTAACATTGGTTTAACACTGGAAGTGGTTAAAATAAACAAAAATATGTGTAGCCAATACTTTTTCTTATTTCAAGTACTGCTGAGTACATAAGTGACATTGTTTTTCTATACAAAATATAGAACTACTTTTAGTAACATTTTTTGAAAAACATAGAAAATGAAAATTGAGTACTATTTGGGTGAGAAACAACATGAGAATTTGTTTTACCTTTCGATACTCCTTCAGAGCAACAGCAGGATGGACACTTCCAGCAAAAGTCTCATTATCAGTGAATACAATGAAGACATCAGCAGCTGTGTTTGTCTTCTGAGCCCAGATCATTGGAAGAGAGCAATCAGTTCCACCTGCTGGGATCTAACTCAGAACAAAAACATGAAAAAGAACAAAATAAAGTTGCCCTAGTGTCCATGATGAAAACTCTGAAATAATTAAATACTTAAAATACTACTTTTTACATTATCATTTGTTTAGTACCAATATACAGGCCTTCTCAAAGCCTGTAATACTGTTTTGATTTTGTGTTTCTCATGAGAAAATCAAGACAAAACAATTTGTTTTCACAAATTAATAAATTCATGACATTACCATAAACTTATTATACAATACTTGTTTAGTAAACTTAATAAAATAGTTTCTTACCTGACTCATAACCATTAAAACCTGTTGTAAAGTCATGTCGGTGGTAATTGGACATGGTACCATTTCATCTGAAAAAGCAACTACATAAGAATCTTTTTCTGTTCGTGTGACAACCTGAAAAATCCAATGGTTGTAATTTTCAGCAGATTTTGGGGAAAAAATACAGTATTTTGAAGTTTATACAAGTTCATCTTCAAAAGAAACACTATGATGCTTATTCTCTTTCTGAACTTATTACCGTGTTTTAGAACTATACAGTAATAGTATAGTTAGATTAATAGGTAGTATAGATTTTGAAGTACTTTCACAAACTCTTAAAAAGAAACTGGTTTCCACAACAATCCTCTGAAGCAAATAGAGCATATATTCTTCTCATTTTATTAAAAAAGAAATAAAGCCACAGAAAAGCAGCTAAGAATCTTGCCTGTGATTCACCTGCTTACTATTTAGTGACAGAATCAGGCTAGAACTAAAATCTCCTAACTATTATTATTAGTTCTCTCATCTTTTAACTTTTATACCATTAAATAATTTTTCTAAGCATGATCTACTTCCTCAAAAATACTACTAATATTTAATTTTGTAAAAATTAAAATTTCTATTCTCACCATTCTTTAGATATGCTTTTTCAACACACTTAAAACCCTGCTTCGGGCTGGCTGGTTAGCTCCCTTGGTTAGAGTGCAGCCTTGTAAAACGAAGGTCAAGAGTTTGGATCCCTGTACTGACCAGCCACGGGAAAAAACAAAACAAACAAACAAAAACCCCCCACGATTTTAGGGGCTGGCTGGTTAGCGTAATTGGTTAGAACACAGTGTTGTAACACCAAGGTCAAGGGTTTGGATCATCGCAGTGGCCAGTCACCAAAAAAACCAAACAAGAACAACAAAAAAACTTTGCTTCACAAAATTGTTTAGATATAAAATGATAAAAAATGTGCTGAATAAGCTGAAATGACAAAAATAAGGGAAAACATAATTCTTGATCATATCTAACTTTATAATTTTGCCCCATAAACATACAAAGTGGTAAAAATCCTAAACTGTCTTAGGTGTTCTTACCATGCACATTGCTGCAGCAACTGTACTAGCGTTGAGCACACTACCCAAAACTCTTTGGTTCATGGAAGTGCTGACATCAACAGCCAGCAAAAAACGCTTTCCAGTTGGCTCAACTGTCTAAAAAGAAAACAAAATAAAACAATCATTAAAAGCAACTGTAGAAATTATAAGTTGATTAAATTTTTAACAAATCATATTTACTTACTTTCATTCAAAATACTCTCTAAGATAAAAGGCCTTCTGAGTTTTGACAAGCCAATTAATTGACTACTGGAAAATGCTTAGCTCAGATGTTACACAGCCACTGGTAACCATGACATCAAATGGACAATGCCACACTGTGTTCTAACTTTGAAGCTGATTGGTTTGGCTGTTGACTACTTTGACAGAGGGAAAGATTGGAACTCCTTGTCCTCTCAGCAACAGAAATATGCCACAAGGGGTGTCCCTTTCCTGCTGGAAGTTGCTGGTTTTTCCTACTTCTATGGGGCCTTCTTGGTAGGGCCCCAGTTTTCAATGAACCACTACATGAAAATGGTGCAGGGACAGCTGACTGACACACCAGGGAAGATACCAAACAACACCATACCTGCTCTCAAGCACCTCAATCTGGGCTTTGTCTATCTGGTGGAATACACTCTGCTCAGTCCCCACATCACAGAAGACTACCCTCACCCAAGACTATGAAAACTGCCCTTTCTGGTTCTACTGCATGTATATGCTGGCTGGGACAAGTTTGTGCTGTACAACTACGTCACCTGTTGGCTGGTCACAGAAAGAATGTGCATCTTGACAGGGCAGGGCTTCAATGACTTTGAAGAGGGAAAGGCAAAATGGAATTCCTGTGTCAACATGCAGGTATGTCTCTTTGAAACAACCCCCCACTTCACTGGCACCATCACCTCTTTCTACATTAACACCAAAGCCTAGGTTACTTCTTCAAATGGTCCAAGTTCCTTGGAAATAAAGAACTATCCCAGGGACTCTTGTTGCTATTCTTGGCCCTCTGGCATGGCCTACACTCAGGATACCTTGTCTGCTTCCACATGGAATTCCTCAATGTTACTGTAAGAAGACGGGCTGCCAGACTAATTCAAGAGAGCCCAGCCCTGAGCAAACTGGCCTCCACTGCTCTTTTACAATTCTTCTACTACTTCGTGCAACAGACCATCCACTGGCTCTTCACGGCTTACTCGATGACTGCCTTCTACCTCTTCATGTGGGACAAATGGCTTAAGGTGTACAAATCCATCTGTCTTCTTGGCCATGTCTTCTTCTTGAGCCTACTATTCACATTGCCTTATGTTCTCAAAGCAATGGTGCCAAGGAAAGAGAAGTTAAAGAAAACAGAATAATCTATTTCCCTGATGGCTTAGAGCAGGACTGGTGCAGAAAATGCTTGTCTCTCTTTTCACAGCACTCACTTACCCCAGAGTACAGAAAACAGAAAAGCCAGAGAGTTGGAAGACATGGCACTCCCAGCTGTGCCTCTGCTGCCAGCCAAGTCTTCTTTTGGGTCCAAAGGGGAAACTCTTGTGGGAGGAGCAGAGGGGCCCATATCTCCCCTCTGGACTCCCCCATGCATTCTGCCTTATCTCTCCATCTCTCCCTCTTCAGCCAGGAATCTGTTGTTTTTCTTCTGCCAATTTATTATAATTGTATATGTGCAGCTACCATGCTCCCTCCATGGCGGGGTACAAGGCCCTACCAGCTCTACTTTTTCTACCTTGGAACTATACCAGATACAATCACTTCTGTTTGTTCAGTTAAAAAAAAAAAAAGAAAAATTCTTAGCTTTTACTTCAGGTAAAACAAAGGAAATAAGATGACTTATTTAGTAATTTTTTTAGTATCTTTTATTTCAACTTACACATTGTAATTGTACCTGTATTTTGATACATATATATGTTGTGTAATAATTGGGTTTGGGTAGTTAATGTCTCAATCACCTCATGCATTTATCACTTGTTTGTGGCGAAAACATTCAAAAGCCTCTCTTCTAGCTGTCATGAAATACAAAACTTCTTTTAACCATACTCTCTCTACTGTGCAACAGAATATCAGAACTTATTCCTCCTATCTAATTGCAATTTTGTATCTGTTGGCCAGCCCTCCCTGTTTTCCCTACCCAGGCTCCGGTAACCACTGTTCTATTCTCTGCCTTTATAATATCAACTTTTTTTTTTTTCCCCTTCGATTCCACATATGAGTGAGGTCAGAATGACCTCCAATCCATCCATGTTGCTGGATATCTATTTAATAATGTTATTTAAAGAACTTACCACCCTATTTTTAAATATCTTTCTTGACTGAAGTGTGGGAATTTCTAGCAAGAATTTTTTTTATTGTGATAAAATTTAAAAAACATAAAATTTACCTTTTTATCCATTTCTAAGTGTACAATTCGGTAGCATTAAGTATATTCACAATGTTGTATAACCATCACCTCTATTTCCAGAACTTTCTCATAATCTCAAATAGAAACTTTGTGCCAATTAAGTAGTAACTCCTTGTTTCCACCTTGCTCTAGTTCCTGGCAACTTCTACTCCACTTTCTGTCTCTATAAATTTGCCTATTCCAGATACCCAATATAATGGACTCATAATACTTGTCCTCTACGTCTGGCTTATTTCACTTAGTATAATGTTTTCAAGGTTTATCTATGTTGAAGCATGTATCAAGTCTCATTCCTTTGTAAGGCTGAACAATATCCCATCCTATGTATATGCCACATTTTACCCATTCATCTTTTGATGGACACTTCGGTTGTTTCACCCTTTCATGATTAATAAAATACTCAGTAAACCAGAAATAGATATGATTGATGACACTAATTAATCATAAAAAAGTGTAATTGCTGGATGGTATGGTGATTGTACATTTTAACTTTTTTTTTTAAAGACGACCAGTAAGGGGATCTTAACCCGTGGCTTTGGTGTTATCAAAAGCACCACACTCTCCTGAGTGAGCCACAGGCTGGCCCCTGTAAATTTTTTAACTTTTTGATGCTATTGTAAATGGAAATATTTTCTTAATTTCCTTTGGATTGTTCATTGCTACTGTATAGAAATACAACTGATTTTTTGTTTTTGACAGTAAAATGTTTTACTAAAAAAAACCCCTGACTTTTATGTGTTGAGTTTATATCCTCCTTGAACTATGCTGAATTTGTTTGTTAACTCCACTAGTTTTTTTTAATGGATTGTTTAGGGTTGCCTACATGTAAGATCATGGCACCTGAGGGCAGAGATAATTTAGCTCCTTCCTTTCCAACCTGGATGTCTTTTATTATTTCTTTTTCTTGCCTAATTGCTAGAACTTACAGTACTACATGGAATCAAAGTGGAAAAGTGGCACTCCTTATCTTGTTCCTGATCTTAGGGGGAAAGTTTTCAGTCTTTCACTACTGAATATGATGTTATTAGCCATCTATTTTTCTTTTTAACCTATGGCCTTTATCATGTTGAGGAAGTTCATATCTATTTCTGGTTTACTGAGTGTTTTATTAATCAAAAAAGGGTGTTGAATTCTGTCAAATGCTTTTCTTGCATCAACTGATATAATCATATGATTTTACCATCTTCATTCTACTAATGTGATATATTACATTGATTGGTTTTCATATGTTGAGCCATCCTTGCATGACAGGGATAAATATCACTTGGTCATGGTGTATAATTCTTTTAATTTGCTGCTGAATTTGGTTGCTAATATTCTGTTGTATAGCAAGAAATTTTTAAAACCAAAAATTTTAACTTAAATCTTTCATATGGGATTTCCTTTCCTAAAAATTCACTTCCTGTCAAGACTGATGAGATCCATGTACCAATTAATGGAGACATAAAACACATGACCAAGTTAAAGGACTCCAAAGGAATGCATATTTTTAAATTTAGTAATTTAAAAATTATCAAAATGATCTTAGGATAATTAATTGCTGCCCAAAAGTAAGGGAAAATACATTACTCATAAATTTACAATGTTAATTATATACCCACCATGAACTAAGGAAAAACAAATATAAAAAAATGGTTAAACTAGAAATACTACTTTTAAAATGTGTTTTTACAAAAGATTTTAAGCCCCAAGTTATTTGTTTTAAAACAAAAATCAAACCATTACCTTAAATGTTTTATAAAAAGCGACATCCAATGCTTTCAAAATTTCTTCATCAGGGCGCCATTTCAGTTTTCCTCTGAGTCCATGACCTGACTTGTAAGTTTCTAATGCAATTAAAACATGAAACGGATGTATACGAGCCTAAAAACAAGACAAAGACAAAAAGTAAATGCAAATTTTAAGTAATTATGTGTCTTGCTTAGATTTTTATGCTATTGTAGTGAATATATTTCATAAAGAAAATAAGAAAATAAGAATGTATTAACCTCCAGTGTAAGAGTTAAAATGCAATTTGGAATGATAAAAGTCTCAGAACACTTAAAGAAGGCACTGGTGGTATTTCCAAAATTTAGGAGCCAACTTTTTCAGTTAGTAGTAGCTAACTACAGGCACTGATAATGCTTACCTTTTTTAACAGTTTTTCATTACACAGTTTTTCACACACTAAAGATACTTCTGAATTTCCTGGTTCAAGCACTGAATTAGCAGTCATCTTTCCTAGATTCCTTAGTAATGCAGTAAGAGGCATTTCTTGTAATAAAGCTTTCCATACCTATTGCAATAACATAGGTAGAAATAAAACGAAGGGTCAATAAATCAGTATAATATACCTATATACCAAAAATATTCATAATACATTCTCTAAGGCTTTCTTTTGGGGTTCAGAGTACTTTCAGAATGAAAATTTTTCTTAATTGGTCAAAGGCTTATCAAATAAGCTAAATTTTTTTTTAAATTACATTTTTTTAAAAAATTACATTTTATTTTTTTTTGGCAGCTGGCCGGTAGGTATAGGGAACTGAACCCTTGACTTTGATGTTGCAACACCACACTCTAACCAACTGAGCTAACCAGCCAGCCCCCTCAGTCTTTATTAGAATAAGGAAGTGAAGTATATTTTATGAAGAAAATGCATAGAAGCCTTTTTTCTTAATAGTATATTTTCGGAGGGGAATTAACACTTACTGAATACCAACTACATCTGAGCATCATGTTAAGATATTTTAAATAAACATTAATTTCAAGATATATTTTGGTTAATTTCTTTTTAAAATAATTAATAAACATAAAGTTACTCAAAGTTTATCCTTTTTATACATATCATAAACTAGTCATGTTTAATCATATGCTGTAACATATAGTCTATCCCTCGATATCTGTAGAGGATTGGCTCCAGGACCTCCTGAACTTACCAAAACCCATGGATATTCAAGTACCTGATATAAAATGGCATAGAATTTGCATATAACCTATGCACATCCTCCCATAAACTCTAAATCATCCCTGGATTACTTATAATACCTAATAAAATGTAAATACTATGTAAATAGTTGTTACACTGTGTTGTTTATGGAATGACAAGAAAAAAGTCTGTACATGTTCAGTACAAATGCAGTTTCCCCCCCCCAAATATTTCTGATCTCCAGTTCACTGAATCCATTGATGTGGAACCCATGGACGCAGAACCCATACACAGGGCCGACTGTATTATAATTTACTCACCTCTTTAGATTTTAAATGATTCGTTAGAAGATGTTCCCTAACTAATCTATGTTCTTCTATTAGATGAATGACTTCCAGTTCATCTTTTGTGCGCTTCACTTTCTCTACAGCCTCCAGATACTTTAATAATTTTTCAGCCTCCACAGAAAGTGCTTTTTCCTTATACAATTCACATACTTCTTTCCAGCCCTTTGTGATATATTTGGTCACAATAGCAAGTCCTTTAACAAGATAAAGAATTGAAAAGGCATGCAGGATTATCAAGTAAAAAACAGAACATTTCCTGAGAATGCATTATATGATAGACATAACTAGATACACAGGAATTAACTCCCTTAAACTGGGTTTTGTTATGCATGACATAACAAACACATTTAAGAAAATGGAGTGAATTAATTTTGCTTATTCCATTATTACTTTTTAAATATGAGACTATAAAAACAACAAAATAAAAAACCTCCAATATCCTAAGTAACTGTATTACACAGGCTTTTTTTTTGAAACACCAGCATTAGAAACTGGTAGAAAATGTCTATCTCAGGTCCACAATCTCAAACAACTCACAAGAGTATAGATCTATCTCAATACTATATTCACTTGTTGAATGTTTGTTGTTGAATAAATATAAATTTCTTAATAGCAGAGATAAGTGGAAGAGATAAGTAGATAGGTCCGTTTTATTGTTTAATAGCTGAGAAAGTATTACAGGCCAAATTTTTAAAAAATACTATAATTTGTTTATTCCTTCTACAATTTCTTCTAATAGTAGAAAGAGCTTTGGATTGGGTGTGAGAAAATCTGGGTTCTAGCCTACATTCTGCCAATAAATGGTGATCTTTCTAGGTCTTTTGTAAAGGTAGGAATTAAATTATCAAATTCAAATGTCCATGAGAGAAAAGCAGATAAAGAAATGAAACAGGCCATGGTGTTATAATAAAGTTGTTAAGACTGTGGTAAAATGAAGAGAGTATGTCTGATAAATGTATTGGCCAACTCTTGGTTTAGTGCTGCCAAAAAAAAAATGTACTTTCAAGAGAAGCCAAAATATGGATATTTATGTGAAGTCTTTTGATTTTTTAAGATATTGACAAAGAAGTCCTTTCCCCCCCCTCACATAATGTATAGGCCAAAAGAAACACACTATATTGAGCCTATGTGCTATTTTTGAACTCTAACTAACATGCAGGAACTTCTAAAGTATTGCAACTCTTGCAATCTTCCACATGTGGTACAAAATCATCTTAAATGATTAAATGTTTCATGTGAGAATGTTTTCTATTTTGTTTTTCCAATGAAAATAAAAATTCCTTAAAGCAATCTTACCCTACCCAGTTCTATAATTGTGCTGGCCACAAAGTAGGTACACAAAAAATATATCATTAATTGAATCACATTTTGACTTGTTTTGCTTGTTATACACATTTCAGTGAAGGTATTATATTACTTATTCTGTAGCTTACTTAGAGTTAAAATTCTTTCCACCGAGAAGCCTACAGATCCTCTATGCCCAACATGATACTCCTGTTATTAACAAGGTTTCAAGTACGAGTTCTGCCCTCAAAATTTACAATTAAAGAATCCTATGTATGGAAGTAAGTTTAGGGAACATCTACTACTTCCTCATTTTACAGCCTAACAAAACAAAGTGCAGAATAATTATTTTCACAAGTTCGAAAACTAATCTGTCCAACTAGAACTAGCAATAGCTGATTAGTCCATTACTTGCTCCACACCACCATGTAGTGTCTCAAGAAAGTTGGATGCCTATGTACTTCTTATACTGAATCAAAGGTTTAAAAGTAAAAATAATGTTTCCTAACCATGAATATGTTAAAACAAGAAACCCCCCAAAACAAAAACCATAGGTAAACCACAGGTAAATATTTTTACTAGTTTAGGTTGCAAAAGGCCTTCTAAAATTAACACAAAACAAAAACCCATGAAGACATAGATAAGTTTGATTACATTAAAATCCCAAACTTCAAAGTGCCAGAACCACCTCCTGCCTCCCCAAATTTAAAGACAAAGAACAAAATAGGGGAAAAATGCATGTAATGTGTATGATAATAAATTATTAATTCCTGTAATGTGTATCCCAAGTTCTCAGAACAGTGTCCATACATAGTAGGTGTTCAATAAATATTTGTTGAATGAATGACCATAATCAATATTAAAAAAGAATAGTAACAAAATGGATAAAAGGGCAATGATACAATAATATAATCTACAAAAAATACAAGTATCAGTAAGCACATGAAAAGATAAGCATCTGTACAAAAACACAAATTCAAAGAACAAGACAGAAATTTTTAACTATCCTATAGGCAGAGATTTAAAAACACTGGCAATGGTCAGTGTTCAAATGTGGGGAAACTGGCTACTTTCATATACTGTTTGTGGATTTAACCAGTATAAAAATATTTACTCTATGCAAGCTTTTCTTCCCCACTTCAGTATCTTTCTAAAAACTGTAAATTACTTCACCGTCATCAATAAGAGATTAGTTAAATTAATTATAGTATATTCATACAATGGTAAATATACAACTATTTCTACTGACCTGAAAAAATAGCAATATCATACTTTTAACTGAAGCAAAAAAGGTACATAAAAAAATTTTAGTAAAACATAGTAGTATATGTTTAGGAAAAATTTGGAATAATATATTCAACTTAAAACATGTAATCTCTAATACGTAAATATTTGCTGTAATTTATTGCTTAAATTTCATTTGAAATAGTATATTTATAATAAAGAAATAATAAATTAAGAATTACTGAACACAGTGTGTATAAAGATATCATTATACAATCTATCTGGAAAGGAGTGGGAGGGAACCAACAGTGTACTTCTACATTATCAGGAACTATGTGTGCTAATTAAGTATTTTAATATACATTACCACATTTGGTCACAATAATTATAAGGTTATTCCACTTCCCCATTTTTAACAGATGAAGGTACAAAAACTCAGAAAGATTAAGTTACCTGGCTTAAGGACGAAGTGACAGGAAAAACTGAAATTTGAGCTCTTTCAAATACACATCTGGTGCAAAAAACATTCCACATTTTGGATATGGTGATTTTTCTGGAAATTCACACTTTTTTTTTTTTAAAAGATGACCGGTAAGGGGATCTTAACCCTTGACTTGGTGTTGTCAGCACCACGCTCACCCAGTGAGCTAACCGGCCATCCCTATATGGGATCTGAACCCATGGCCTTGGTGTTGTCAGCACCGCACTCTCCCGAGTGAGCCAAGGGCCGGCCCGGAAATTACACTTTAAATTATTCCTGCCCAAGAGTTGTTCTTATTCCTCTCCTAAGCAGAAGTAGTAATTATTGTAGATCCAACTAACTTCTCAAAAGTCTCTTCCCAAAGACATAAAAAAATTGCCCCTAGTTAGCATGTTCCCTGGCTCACTGCCTGTAGACAATTAACATCCTTAATTAAGTTCAGGACTATTTCAGGTAGCCTTTAGATTACATGGAACATATGTCCTATGAAGACAGGGAGGGAAAAAATGATAAGGGGCAAGAGCACTACAGACTGGCTACCTGCCATCTAGTGGCAAAGAGCTGTTTTGCTTACTATAACTTTCACCTTGTCCATGCTGCTATAATCACTTGGGTAAGCATTCTAATTAGCATGCGACATTTTAAGATTTAGAATATTAATCTGTAAATCTGTAATTTGACTTTTGATTATTAATGTCTGGGTTGCCCGTGATAGGCATTTAATTCCAGGGTGGCCTTAAACAAACTTGATTTAGTCAATCGATGTATGTTTTGAGAATGCAAGGCTATTGCTAGAAAATATTCTGTGATTGTCAAACAAAAACTATTTATTTGATATCCCCCTTCCCTCCATGAAGATCTTATACTTACCTTCACTGGAAGGTTTAAGATGTGACAATCTTAACAGATCTTTGTGAGACCAGCCATTTCTTTGTTTATATTTTGTAACTGCCAGAGCAAGGGCCATGCCACCTTTTTCATTGTACCAATCTGCGATAGCTTTCCGGAGGGCACGACCCCACATGCCACATTTCATGCTTTCCTTCAGATCTTTCTTAAACTGGATAAAAGTAAAGAGATGTGTAGGAATGCGACAAACTTCAGAAACAGCTTTAAATGCTGCTTGTTTTGTGCTTATGTCGGAACACTGGGAACAAATGGCAAGTGCAAAGAGCATAGGCTCTTGCTTTGTGGTTCTGCCTTCTTGACTAAAAGACTTTATTTCCTGTATCACTTCACATCCTCTGCCATCTTCAATCAATCTAATTAAAGCTTCAGCATTTTCAAGACCCAACTTCTGTTCTCTGATATAATAAGTTCCACCTTCAGAACCAAAACATAAGAACCGGTGTAGTCGATTCATGTCAGTGACTTGCCATACATATCCATCTTCAGAATTAGCTATCTGCTTCTCATTCAGTGGTTGCATTTGGTTTACAGATGCCTCCATTTTTTTTCTTTTAGGAAACCTATCAAAAAAAAAATGTTATCACAACTAAATGGACATCATAAAATTATAAAAAGGAAAACAATATTAATCTATGCTTACTGAAACCTATTCTGACATCTTTTAATTTAAAAATATCTTTTAAGCTCAGTAAGTTTTTCTCTTAGTACAAAATCAATATAAATGTCCTGAAGAAAAATTAGAAAAGATAGAAAATACAAGGAAAAAAACCACATCTGACCACCAAGTGACTACTGGTAATATCTTAAGTTTTTAAGTATTTTTGTTTTGTATTCATATCTTTAGAATCTTTCAGGCAAAAAAATTAAACTAGATAATAGCTACAGTGGAATGATAATCGGAAGTAACAACTGAAGAGTCATATTTTTGAGGTATGGTGTATTGTTTCTGAGATTAAGCAAGTAGGTCAGCATGGGGCCTTGAGGCCCAGATAGAAAGAAATAAAGGGGGGAGGGAGGGCAGCAATAGTAGCTGACATAAAGAAAGATTTTACTCCCTGAAGAACTGTATAGATATTTTTGGTTGCCTATCCATCCATTCCTTCCCCTTCTCTTTTCTTCTTCCTGGCCATCATGTCCTTCAGAGGAGGCTAGGCCTTTCACTAGCCCCAAGGGATGAATCTTGATTGCTCTAAGCCAGTGGTTCTCAAACTCGGTGTGCATCAAAATTACTTGAAGTGCTAGAGAGTGTTAGTTAAAACAGACTGGTTCCCTGGCCCCCTTCTGCCCGCCCCCCTTGCCACGACTGGTGGCATTGGGTCAGTGTGACATGGTATGTCTGCCAGGAATACTTTTGAGATTTTCTTCATTCTTAAAAGGTTCTTTAAAAAAGGAATGTTCATTTTCTGCCTTGAGACATTTTCATTTGCAAGTGATGCCTGGAGTGGTGGCAGCCATTATGAGAATGTGAAGGGAGCCAGTTTAAGAGGACATGCCAATTGTCAATATAAAAGGCTAGCTAAAAAAAAAAATTAGAAGAAACCTTGGTCATTGATATCAGCTACATGGATTTGCTCAATTTAGAAATTTCCTATTGTGTCATAAATGTATCCTTATTGTTCAAATCATTTTTAAGTTTTGTTATTTGTAGTTGAGAGCATCCTGATTAACATCCTATTACCTGTGCTTGCTTATAGTTAGGTCATCTGTAACTACCTTTGCCTTCCTTTCTCCTTTATCTATAAAGCTAGCAGAACCAGCTGTCTCGCAATTTCATCCCTCTTTATCTTCCTAATAGAGCAATCACAATTGTCACTACTTCATCAGCCTACCACTATTCTTACTATAATATAGCTGTTTATCCAGGTCCCTCAATCCATCCTATACCATTACAGTGCACGGGGCTTCTGCCCATGGTAAACAAAACAAACAAAAAAAATAAAACAAAATAACAACCCCCCCCCCCCCCCCCCAGTATTTACTGAATACATACTATGTGTAAGACATGGAGATTTCTGTTCCATTAAAAAGACCAGAAATAGTCCTCTTTTCCTGCTCTCAGGAAATAACATTCATTTGGGGAGGCAGAATTACAAAGCAAACTGTAATTAAGTGCTGTAGAAAAGTACTATGAGTGATCAGGGGAAGATGAAATAATGCTGTCTCAATCCAGAAAGACTTGTGTAGAGAAGGCAAACTGAACAACTGATAAGTTTGGGGAAGGCATTCCAGGATGAGGTTCCTGAAATCCTGCCCTGTGTCTTTATATTCTAGAGAAGAACTGTCTAAATATACCTGCATAGCCATAAAGACATGTTGATAGATCATAGTAGCTTAAAGAGGAACAGAGGTAAAAAAAATTTTGTTTTGAAGATGATACATACATGAGCATGTTTATATGTTGTGAGGAAGGCTGAGGATGGACTCCTGGTGAATTTTAACAATCAAGAGTTAAGGAGAGATGGGCCTTTAAGAGGAGACAGAAAAGGGGCCGGCCCGGTGGCGCACTGCTACAGTGCGCCGCTTGAGAGTGCAGCGGCGCTCCCGCCGAGGGTTCGGATCCCACATACAGACCGGTTCCCGCTCACTGGCTGAGCGAGGTGTGGGTGCAACACCGAGGGTTGCGATCCCGTTGCCGGTCCCAGTCCGGTACGGGCACTACACTGAGGGTTGCGATCCGTTGCCAGACACGAAAAAAGACAAAAAGGAAAAAAAAAAAAAAAAGAGGAGACAGAAAAGGACATGCACACAGTTAAAAAATCAGGACAGACTGGTATCCTGGACAAGGACAATTTCAAGTAGTGAATGGCTGGTAATGCTGAACGGTCAGAGATCACGTAATTAATGTAAAGGCAAGAAAATAACCACTGGGTTTAGCAAACAGCAGTGACTAGGAAAAGCAACTGTAGTAGAATGGTGTAAAAAGTAGCTTGGTTACAGTGAGATCAGGAGAGTACGCAGTGAGGAAGAAACTTCACAAGTAGACTACTCTTTCATAAAAGCATAGTTATAAACTAGGAAGGGAGGTTAAGAGAGAGAGAGAGTAGGACCTAAAGGAAAAACCTTTTTCAATGGCAAGACATTGAGGCTGAGGTTCAAAGATGCAATTTGGAGAGCTGAAGACACAGTAGAGAAAGAGGATAACTGAGGGAGTGAGATTCCTGAAAGAAGTGAGACAGAATTGGCTTAGGGGCATCCAGGTTGAGACTAGCCTATTGAGAGCAAAAGAGATACCACCTTGAAGGGTGAAAGGTATGTGTGAAGATAGATTTGAAGGAAACCAAGAGATAAGGAAATTGAGGAAGTTCCCACTTGACAGGAAATCTAGAGTTCCGAAAGGTATGTGGGGAAGTTTGGTAGAGAAAGGAGCAAAGAAAGACTGGGTCTGAGAGGGGAACACATGGTGTGGAGTTAAGTACACTGGAGAATGGAGAGCTTCCCATTCTGAATGTGACAGAATGTTAAGGGGGCAGTGATTTGAATTGTGTTGGAAATATTATTGTTGATATTCCAAATAAAACTCTAGTATACATTTGCTTATGTTAGTGCAGGCCTAGGCCTAAGGTGGTATCAGAGAAGTAATGACCATATGAGGGTACTTCAAAAAGTTCATGGAAAAATAGAATTAAGGGATAATACAAATATTTCCATGAACTTTTGAAGTACCCTTGTGTTTAGTCATTAGGGACAGATTTATAGTTACTGAGTGCAGCATAGGCTGAAACTCCTGGTACAGTGATGCCTCTTTTTATTCTTATCCTCTTTTTCATTTGGCTCTTACCTCTACCTTTCAATCCAAAAAACCCTGAGAAGATTAACAAACTTCTCAAAGACTAACACCTTAATTGCCAATTCCAATAGAAAATTTTATCTTATTTTGATCTTCACATTGCATTTGACATTGTTAGCCTCTCCCTTTGCTTTCACAAAAATACTCTCTGGTGGTACTTCAACCTGTCTATTCCGGCCTATTAGTTACATTTGTTAAATGAATAACACTGAAGTGACATTAATGGGAGATTATTCTACGGCACCTGCTTTCCTGCATCAAGGCCCAAGCACTGGGATTTAAAGGTCCCAATCCAAACCTCAAAATCCCCTCTTCACTCAAATTCTTTTTCTTGTATTATTCATTGTAAGCACGTCTAGCTACATCATTGTTTCCCTTGAGAGCAGGGAACAAGGTATTATTTTTGTATCTCTCTACTGCAGCTAGAACACCACATTTAAGTAATTAGTAGTACAGACTTAAGGATAACTAAATAGCATTAAAGTTGATTTTCTGAACCATCTGCCTAAGAATTAGGCATGAGTGGTTTTTCTTTCCTGTAACACATTTATTTTGAAAATAAGTCTCAACATGTGCAATAAAAAACTTAATACAAGTCTTTAAGATAAATTCTGTAATCAAAATAAAATAATAAATGTACTATATGCAAGTAATGGAAATGCAATCAAGAAAAATAAAAAATGAAAGTTACAAAGAGAAAGTAATGAGTTCTGATTAAAAATGTCATTTGAGAACAATATTTCTCTGTGAGTTTTTCTAATATATTCAATATTAGGTATTCAAGTACTGTAGTGGATTGAGTTATGTCCCCCCAAAACTCCCTGAAGCTTGAATTGCGTCCCCCAAGATTTATGTATTAGAAACTTAGCCCCCACTGTGACTGTTAAGAGGGTGGGAAATCCTATTATGGTAATTGAAAGGTGGGGCCTTGAAGAGGTAATTGGATTGTAGGACCATGCAGTAGTGAATGGATTAAAAATGGTGGTCAGGGGCGTGGTTCTGAGGGCTTTAAAAGAAGAGGAGAGTCTGTCTTGCTCTCTCTGCTCCCACCATCATGCGATGGAGACCCCTAGGTCATGGTCACCACCACCAGATGGACTTTGGACTACCCAGCCTCAGAAACTGTAAGCAATAAATTTCATTTTTCTTGACAAATCACCCAGTTCCAAGTATTCTGTTATAAGCAACAAAAAATAGACTAATACAAGTATCTTTCGTGGAGCATGCAGCAAAATGAACTTTTTTTTTTTTAAAAGATGACCGGTAAGGGGATCTTAACCCTTGACTTGGTGTTGTCAGCACCAAGCTCACCCAGTGAGCTAACCGGTCATCCTTATATGGGATCTGAACCCGTGGCCTTGGTGTTATCAGCACCACACTCTCCCGAGTCAGCCACGGGCCGGCCCCCAAAATGAACTTTTAAATCTAGAAAAGTTACCTAAGAGAGGTAATCCCTAAATATAATCCTTGTAATCACTATTATAAGAAATGAAGTTAGTTACTTATTCATAGCTATATCAATAAAATCTTCCATTTGCATTTTATGATATTAATGACAAGGACACACCCTTTTAACATTTTTGTAGCAGTTTCTGTGGTAGATAGAGCATATGCTCTATGACCATACTTTCCAGGGTACAATATAAAACAGTGGAACAGATCACATTATTAATAGCTAGGGCACCTCTCTACTTGCTTGTGTAAATTTACCAGGATCAACTTTTTAAAGTGAAAGATGGAAAACAGAATGGCAGCATGTCCCAAGCTACTCTCCTTATCACTGAGTGCTGATACACAAATTAACTTCAAACTGGCTAGGTGATATGACACTGTTTTAATAAAAATACCTTGTCTTTGTACATAGTTCCTGGTAGAGTTTCAAAAGCCCTTGGAATTTCCTGAGAAACAGAAGTGTCTGTCATGCTAATAAGTAGACTCATTGAAGGCCCCTAGATAGCTTTGGGATGGGGGTTTGGGCTAGCTTTGGGCCAGACCAACCTCCTGGGAAGGAGGTAGAGCTCCTGAGATTGAGTTTAATCACATGGCCAATGATTTAATCAATCATACCTATATGATAACACCGCATATAAAAACTCTGGACATAAGTGCTCAGAGGAGCTTCCAGGCTGGTGACCAAATTGATGTGCTGGAACGGTGCTGTGCCCAGATTCTACAAGGAAGGCGTGGAAGCTCTTTATCCTTCCCCTTCTCCCTGATTTTGCCCTATGAGACTCTTCCATTTGGCTGTTCCTAGTTGCCTTTATAACAAAACTGTAATCTTAAGTACAGCACTTTTAGTGATTTTTGTGAGTCATTCCAGTGAATAACCGACCTTGAGAGGGCTGTGGGAAGCCCAGAATTTGTAGTTGGCAGGAGATAAGTATGTGTAGCCTGGAGACTCCACTTGCAGTTAGTGTCTGAATTAAAGGCAGTCTTCTTTTTTTTTTTTCTTTTTTCATGACCGGTAACGGGATCGCAACCCTCGGTGTCGCGCCCGCACCGCGCTCAGCCAGTGAGCGGACCGGTCTCTATATGGGATCCGAACCCTCGGCGGGAGCGCCGCCACACTCTCAAGCGCTGCACTCTACCGAGTGTGCCACCGGGCCGGCCCAAGGGCAGTCTTACTGGAGACTTTGCGCTTTATCTTGTGGGATTTGATGCTGACTCTGGGTAATTAGTACCAGAACTGAATTGAATTGTAGAACACCTAGCTGGTGTCAGAGAATTGGTGTTAGGACACAGACACCAAAGGCACAGTGACAAAACAAAAAATTTGAAATCAAAATTTAAAACTTTTCAAAGGACACCACCAAGAAAGTGAAAAGACAACCCATGGAATAGAGAAATATTTGCAAATCACATATATGGTAAGGAACTTGTATCTAGAATACATAAAGAACACTTATAACTCAATAATAAAATGATAAATAAGTCAACTAAAAAATAGGCAAAGGAGTTGACCAGGCATTTCTGCAAGGAAGATAAACAAATGGGCAAAGAATCTGAATAGGCATTTCTCCAAATAAGATATCAAATGGCCAATAAACACATAAAATAATGCTGAACATTATTAGTCATCAGGGAAATGCAAATCAGAACCACAATGAGATACTACTTCCCATCCACTAAAATGGCTACAATCAAAAGGAAAATAATATTAAAAGTGTTTTGGAGGATTTAGAGAAATCGGGACCCTCATACACTGCTGGTGGGACTGTAAATGATGCAGCCACTTTCAGAAGGTTAAATACAGTTACCACATGACCCAGGAATTCCACTATATACCCAAGAGAAATAAAAACATGTGTCCAAAACTTGTACATAAGTGTTCTTAAAAGCATTATTCAAAATAATCAAAAAGTGGGAACAACCCAAATATACATCAACTGATGAATGGATTAAAAAATGTGAGATGTCCATACAATGAACTATTATTTGGCAATAAAAAGGGATGAAATACTGATAAATGCTACAACATGAACAAATCTTGAGAACATTACATCAAGCAAAAGAAGCCAGTCACAAAAGGCCACATATTATATGATTCCATTTATATGAAATTTCCAGAATTGGTGAACTCAAAGAAATAAAAAGTATATTAGTGGTTGCCAGAGGATGGGATGAGGGGTGACTGCTAATGAGTAAGGGATTTATTTTTGGGTGACAAAAATGTTCTGAAATTAGATGGTTGCAAAACTCTGTGAATATACTAAAAAGCACTACACTGGATACTTTAAATAGTAAATTTCATGATATGTGAATTATATCCTACACATGATCTTAGCCAAAGCCCGAGAAGTGATGTGAATTACATAAATAAAAAATTGGCTAGGTGAACTATATTTGGAAAGTTGGTTAAATAAATAAGCCTTTATTAACCCCACTTTTTTTATATTCAACTTTAGAAAGCAATTTGAGATACACAGACATATACAGCAACGTAATTTCTTCTTTCCCCAACTGCTATTATCTCCCTGCTCAAAGCTTAAGCTCTATTATTATCAGTGATTTGGAAGGCAGTTGGACAGTGAGGTCAGAGCCTGCTCATCAGTTAATCCATTCCTGAACAGTCAAGTGTTGTAAATCCAGATTAACAAAAAAATATATACTTAATTCTTTGGGTTGGCCTGCTCTTAAAGTACACCACTTCTAAGAAATTAATACAGCTAAAGTTGTATTAAATCGCCATAAATTAGAATTTGGAGAAGTTAAACAGATCACAATACTATTAAAAGCAGGGTCACATTTTAAATTGGTTGTGAATATTTTATACATTGTCCATTTCTTTTTTGATTTCATTTAGAATGAAAATCGGTAAACGCTAGTACAACACATTGTCATAGCACTTTTTTCTGCTTCACACTGATTAGAACTACAACACATATTTCACTAGTACTATTTTTCGTGAATTTACACATCTGAGTATCTTTTCAAAATCTTTTGGTAATTTGTTACTTGAAAATGCTACCTTTTATTCCAAGAAATCAAATTTCGTAGTTTATTTCTTTTAAAATGAAGTCAGGGCTGGCCAGTTAGATCAGTTTTTTAAAGCATGGTGCTGATAACACCAAGGCCCAGGGTTCCATTCCTGTAATGGGCAGTTGCCAAAAAAACCCCAAAAAACAAAGGTGACTTACATCTACGAGAGTGCAAGACAACTGAAAAGAAACAATACTACAATAACTGGGGCCACAAATTCAAATACCTGTATCAGGAAATGGGTGGATCAAGTCAAGTGTGATACAATAAAAAGTGGTGGGGAACTGTGGGAAACATAACAGCATGCTAGTCTGAAGGGAGCAGCCAAGTGGTTGCCATGTGGTATGGACCTAGTGTTGTCAGATATAGTCTTTGTTCTCAAAGATCCAGAAATCTTGCTTTTTATGTGATTTCTTGGAATTAAATGTTAACATAATTAAAGGAATTTTAACCCCCCATTTGATTACTTCTAGTTTGTGTCAAAGTCTAAATTTTCAGTGTGGTCTTTCTACAACAGGTACCACATCAAGTTGGGTATCAAATAAATTTTGGTTTTGATATATTTATTTAGAATAGAAAATATTTTCAAGTTCACAGCAAGATTACAGATTTTAAAATACCGCAAACCACTTTGGGTTCTGGTGCCAAGCATTCTAGGTATGGCTCATAAAGAAATAAGGCTAGTACCCTGGGCATCTCAAATTTTCCAATTAAGTATCTCAAGGTCTAATACTGAACAGAAACCCCCCAATCTGAGGACACTTCATACAAATTTTGGCTTCTACTAATATTCCATAATACACTCATGCTGGTTTTAATACAAAAGCTGTTCTGTTGTTTTCTCTCAGTAAAATTTACCATGTTTATTTTGTGGCTTCACATAATAGGGCACAGTGCTCGCTAACTCCAGGGTATCGGTCACCTATTTGAGAAGCAAGGAGTCAGAGTTTTATCCACTAGAGCATTTTTTTCTAGAAGCCAAAAAAGGCCCTTCTTGGACAGGTAGCTTTTTTTGTTGTTGTTGGCTGGTCGGTACAGGGATCCGAACCCTGAACAGGTTAAGGAGTGATGCATAAATATGTTTACTCTTAAAGATTCTGATTTTAACACTACGGTATCCTATAAGAGAGCCTGCTGAATAAGGGCGATTTAGTGAAAGTAGTCACTTTCGGTTTAACATCATACAGTCTCAGGACCATCCCAAATGTTTTTAGATTAATACACTACATTTTTTTAAGTCTCTTTTTCCTTTGAGGTATTACATCCCCTCCTCACGGACTATGGTCAGATCTTTCTCCTCCCCCTCATTATTCCCTCTAGGATAAATTCGCCTTGTCTCCCCACAAAGATCCGTCTTCCTAAGCCCGGGCTCCCGGGCGACGCCTCTCGCGGGAGGAGGAGGAAGAGGAGGAGTGAAGTAGGCCCGCTGGACGTCGGCCTGCGGGACGCTAAGCGGGGAGGAGCAGGAGCGGTCCCGCGTTCGGGAAGGGCCCACCTCGGGAGTGTCCCGGCCCGGCCGAGCGAGGATGTCCCTACAGCGATGCTGGTTCTGCCACCCTGCGAAGGGAGAGCGCGGAAGCGGGATGGGGGAGAACGACGGTTTGGCGAAGTGTTTGCCCCGGCCTCAGCCGCTGGATGCAGGGTGAGAGACATGGAGGGCCGGTCAGACGCTGCGCGTCCCCAGGGCCGCCCAGACCGCACAAAGGGCCCCCGCAGGCCTCCCGCAATTTCCTCACCTGTGCCGGGCGGCCGACCCTCCAGACTCAGCGCCGCCGGGAGGAGCCCTGCGAAGCGCTGGGAAACGACAAGAGACGGCGGCGGCCTGACTGGCGGCGACGACTCCAGCTCCACCGCCGCTGGGCCTTCCGAGCTCGATTCCCGGGAACGAGCCCCGCCCCTCCCCTTGGCCCCGCCCCCGCTGTAGAGTGGCGAGGATCCCGGATGTTACCTCCTTCGGCTCTCTGAATCCCCGCCCTTTCTCCGAATCCGCTACGGGTCCGGGGAGGCCTAGAAAGAGTTTCTCTGTCTCCTGGGTGGCTAGAGCGTCCTCCCGCACTCCGTCGCTTCAGGTTACGGCGCCCGGAGGCTGTCGGGAAGTAGGCGGGGTGACGTGGGGTTGACGAGCTCAGCGGCGGGTTTGCCGAGATCTGTGGCCGGCGGCAGCTGGTGCAGGGGGCTGCCTAGAGCGTGAGGTGGAGCGGGGCGGTGTGTGGCCGGGGCCATGACGGTCAATGCCGGGGAGTGGTGCCTCATGGAAAGTGACCCCGGCGTCTTCACCGAGCTCATTAAAGGATTCGGTGAGAACCAAGGGGACCGTCCTGGGCCGGGGGTCACGGGAGGAGGCCCAAGCTGGGCACGGAGTGGTTCCCCGCGGCCACCTCCGCCCCGCGTCTGAGGAGAGGTGACTTCAGGAACCTGGAGTCGGCGTGGGGGAGATGTAGGGCTTCCGCCCCCTCCTCAGCCCCGGGTAGTCGCGTTTCCACAGTAATTTTTAGAGCCACTCCAGGAGGGCAAGGATCGTGTCTGTCTTGTGCATCGGGGTCTCCTCAAGACTCGGAACTCACGCACTTCCCTCCCCGAACCCTATGCGCACATATATTTCTCCTTTCCGCCGTCCCTTCCCTGCCGAGCTCTCCCTATGCCGGGTCGCCGTGGTCAGGTGCATCGCTCGGGCCGCCAGTCCTGCAGGGGAAGCCAGTTTAGGGTGTGCCTTCTCCAGGGTGGGGTGTCTGCGGCCCAAGCCGCCCACAAACTTGAGATTCTAGTTACTCAAAGCAGGACGTCGTGAATGTGTGAATAGCTCTTTGGGACGTCCACACACTCTGACTGCGTGGTGCTCCCAGGCCACTTCATTGGTTCTGCTCTCTGCTCATTTCTGGCTTCAGGTGAAGTGAGTTTTCCTTGAGCTAGACTAGAGGCCACATGCTTTCATCATAATTTCTGTCTTGCCTATATTCATTGCCTTCCATCCTAAATAATCAACACTTTTGACTTTTTGTCTTTCCCTGTTCCTCTTGTTTCCAGCTTCCATTTGGGGCAGTAAGTTTATTTGTTACATTTCCTCAAGTATTATTCATTATAGCTATTGTGTTAAAACTTGTACTCGGGATAACAATTAAACGTTGATGTAGATATTGTCTGTTGTACATAAGTGAATATTTGGAATATAATTTATAAAGCATGTCTTGTTCATCTACAATATCTCCGACATACTGGTAAGGATTGGGAATTTTCAAATGTTAATAAAACACGACTGCTGTTCTGAAGAACTAACAGTCAAACCGTAACATGATGTGTTAATTGCTACTCTAGCGTGTGTACAAAACGTTACAGGAACACAGGTCGCAGAAGAGCACAGGCAGAGGAAAAGCTTAAACAGGTGATGATAAAGTATATGCCTCGGGAACAGCCAGCAAAGTGACTAAAACATAATGTAATGGGCTGGAGCAGTAGTCGGATCTGAAGCTGAAAAGATAAAATGAGGCCAGCTTGTATGCCATGTTATATAGTTTGGATTGCCCCGTAGTCATTGGGGGCTTAACTGTCAAAGATATTTGAATGCTGAAATGACATTATTTTTATAATTAATGTTTACTATGCCTGTACTGTGCAGGATGGATTGGAATGAAGTGAGAAAAGCTAGAAATCTCTTAAGATAGTGGGAGTCTGAGGTGATTGGGTTGACAAAGTAGTGTGTTAGAGACAAGGAGGTAGATTCAGTAATTTTGCTGTATTTATTTATTTATTGGGAGGGTGGTGGCTGGCCGGTATGGGGAACCAAACACGTGACCTTGGGGTTATAAGGCTGTGCTCTAACCAACTGAGCTAACTGGCCAGCCCAATTTTGCTGTGTTTAAATCAACAGTTGCATGTGGAAATATCTGCTCCTCATTCCCTTGGGAGCAGGAGTACATATGTAACATGCTACATTAACAAAGGAGTTCTCAGGGCTGCCAACTTCACAGTAGAGGTTAAATGGGAGTATGTTTCTCTTACATAAAAGAAAAAAAAATCAACAGGACTGCTGACTGATTGGATGTAGGGAAAAAGAGGCAAAAATGACTCCATGGTTTTTAGTTTGGATGGCTGATGAAGTACATGGGGTCTTTAGAAAGTTCATGGAAAGATTTGTATTATCTTTTAATTCTATTTTTTCGTGAATTTGTTGACGCACCCTCATAAAATTACTCATAAGAGAGAAGAGCAGGCTTGATGGTCGAGAAAATGGGTTCCGTTTTGGACATACACCGAGTTTGAGATGTCTGCAGTTTTAGCTATTGGTATTACCTTCAAAACCTTAACTATTACAACATGCTAAAGATAACTTTCAGAAATATTGTACTAGGTAAGTTTATTTTAAAATTAATTCAGTGTATTAACAGCTATTGCTTCTATTTCATATGTGCTGAAAACTTGGAATTGAAAATGATTTAAATATTAAAGTCATGCATCAGAAAGTGATATATAAATGTACTTTCTGCATCTGCACATATGAAAAATAAAACAATAGCTGTTAACATATTGCCTTTATTAGCAGAAGAACTTTGCAAAAAGTTAAATGATGGTGGTTTTATATCAGCAGATGCTTCAAAGAGAAAATCTGTTTATTCCAGTTATTTCCATCATTTCAATTTTTTTTTATCAAAATTTGTGGATTTAAAAAAGCTTTTGGAAGTTGATTTGTTCAAAAGTGAGATATTTGTATTGTAGATGCTATTGTAAGTTTATTTTAAAGTTCCATCGTTGGAGGGGAAATTATGGATTCAGTGAATATATAAATACAAATTTTGGTGGACTATAATATCATAGTAAGATAAAGTATTTATTAAATTAGGAAGCTGATGGATCAGAATTATCCTTTTTTTTTTTTTTTTTTGTCTTTTTTCGTGACCGGTAACGGGACCGCAACCCTCAGTGTCGCGCCTGCACTGCGCTCAACCAGTGAGCGGACTGGTCTCTACATGGGATCCGAACCCTCGGCGGGCGCACCGCCACACTCCCAAGCGCCGCACTCTACCGAGTGCGCCACCGGGCCGGCCCAGAATTATACTTTTAATTGGTATGGTGCCTACATAATACATACATGCACCAAAATGATCTGTTTAAGTCTACTAATAGAAATAGAAGCTGTAAACTTCTTCTAGTCAAGGCGGAGTAATAGGGACTGGATTTACTTTTCCTACAATGAACCAGTGACCCCAACTTTTATTTTAAACTAGAGAATGAAGCGCACATTAAACCTAAAGTAAGCAGATGAAAGGAAACAGTAAAGATCAGAGTTGAAATTAGTGAAGCAGAAGAGAAAAGCAAGGAAGAAAGTTAGTGAGACCAAAAGCTGTTTCTTTGAGAAGATCAATACAATTTGATAAACCTTTAGCCAGACTAATCAGAAAAAAGAGAGGAGACATAACTTAGCAATATTGGAATGAGAAAGTGACACCACTACAGATTCTACAGATATTAAAAGGATAATAATGGAATATTATGAATAACTTTAGACTGGTAAATTTGGCAACTTAGATGAAATGTATAGATTTCTTTAAGGACGCAAATTACCAAAGCTCACTTGAGAAGAAATAGATAACCAGTGTAGCCTAAAATTTATTAAATTTTATGCAATCACAGTTTAAAATCTTTTCACAAAGAAACTCTAGTCAAGATGGCTTTGCTGGTAAGTCCTATCATATATTTAAGGAATAAATAATACCAGTTCTACACAAACTCTTCCAAACAGGTGGAGAGGAAAGAATACTTCCCAACTCATTCTGTGAGGGCCAGCACTACCCTCATAGTAACCAGACAAAGACATTACAAGAAAACTACAGACCTGTGTCATCAACATAATGTAAAAATTCCAAACAAAATTTTAGCTGAATCCAGTAATACAAGGGGTCTTCAAAAAGTTCATGGAAAGATTCATATTTTAATTTTATTTTTCTATAAACATTCTGAAGTACCCTTGTACATTAAAAAGACAATACAGTGTGACTGAGGTTTATCCCAAGAGTTCAGGATTAGCTTAACATTCGAAAATCAACGTAATGCACCATATAAATAATTTAAGAAAGAAAAATTACATGATTATGTAAATAGGTGCAGAAGACATTTGACAAAATCCAACATCTGTTAAGAATTATAAAGTGTTAGATTGTACTCTGCTTGCCAGCTAACAAGTTGGCTTGCCAGTTTCTTTTTTTTGGCTGCTGGCTGATACAGGGATCCGAACTCTTGACATTGATGTTATAACATGGCTTGCCAGTTTCTTAGATGCTAGCAGACAATTTCTTGTTTAGTGATAAAGGTTTGTATTACTCATTGCACAGTTGGCAGCAGGGCATTCATGTTTGCGTTGGTTCCTTCTCCTCCAAGCCCATGGAGATGGAGGTGGACCCAGGTAGATCCTGCACACGCCGTCAGTCTATGGTACAGTTGAGAAACTCTGAGCTTAGGGAACTCCTGATTTTATAAAGGGGCTGATAGCAAATCCACTCAGCCTTTGCCTCTAGGGAGATATTATCTTTATTACCTTGGACAGCAAATAAATCTTCCTTCTACCCCAGAGAAAGATTCTGTTATCTTCCAAATCTGTTTACTATATGAACATCCTTGAAAAGATAGTCCAGAGCAAAGCTGGTAATTCCTCTCAAAAGACATACAGAAACAGGATAAACCCATTGAGAATTGTCTCCCAACAATATCCACCCTTCCGTTCTGTATAAAATGTGCCATTTTCTTAGCCACTCTGATTAATCTGACCTGACAGGGTTGGTACCAAATCTTTTAAATTTATCTCTTATAGTGTTTACATTAGAAAGCCAGGTGGCTTTCTCCTTAAGTTTTCGTATTGACCTTTCTTCTTGGCTCAAGGCTTTAACCCAGGTACAGCAGGGTGTGTTAGTGATTTTGTAAACTTCACATTGCGAGGAGAAAGTCTAGAGTAATTCCATTATCTATAATAACTCTGACCCATGAGTTGAGGCAGATCTGAATGACTTTTGGGCCCAGGGTGGTATTTCCTTAACATGAAGGTCTATTATGACTACTCTTAAGGTGCATTGTTTTAAGGAAAGAGGCATGTTAATGGTTGGCTTTCATACAAGAAGTAGAAGTATAGTGTTGGGAGTGTTTGTGGTGCCTCTGGAAGCAAGTGTTGCTTATAGTTGTTGGGCCCCCCAAATGTACCTACTCAGTTAAGGGGTACAAGTTAATAGTGCCTCCAATTTAGTGCTCCCAGTGCAGTTCAGATAATTGGGTCTATGTTTTTGGAGAGACTGCTTTGAGGGCTGTCAATCCAGTTTATCCTATTTAGTCATGTGACCAGCCAAAAGGCATTTATTTGTACCATGGAATTCTGAGAGTGGCATTGGAGAAGACATCTGGGGGTGTTTTGTGGGCAGTGCAGAAGCTGGGGTCATCCTGATGCTTCTGATAAGCTTGTCAGTAAGGTTAGAAGAATGGCAATCAAATTGTTGTCAAAACCATCTGTTGGAAGTTACATACCTAGCAATAGATTAAATTTAAGGCACTGGCAACAGTTTGGAAGAATCCCACCAGAGTATTTTTCTTGGGGAGGAAGGCTCCAGGTATATTTTTAACAAAATTATTTTTGACAGTTTCTGAAGAGCTATTTTATAGACCCACCATTATCATAACACAAATGAAATTATGAAATGTTGATGTATTGATTAACACATTAATCCCCTTTCCTTTTGGAACAGTGTTCTGGTTTGGATGACAAATCATATGATCATGCCATGTAAGACCCAGTTCAATTATCCATGAAAGTTTTTCTCATCAGCACAGATAGTAATGATCTCTCCTCCCTCTGAACTTCTATAACATGAACCCTTGATGTGTAATTTATGCATGCTGCACTGTCCTTGAGTGGTATGTGCTTGTCTCCTACTAGATTGTAAGGTTTTTAAGTATTGTGACAATAGTTAATTGGTTTCTGTCCTTGCCAGGGCCTGATGTCATGCTTGGCGCACAAAAGGTATTTGGTAAATACCAGTATTTCATTAACTTTTTAAAACCTTCCCCCCTCCCCAACTTTTTATTTAGTGTGTTATTAGGAGAGTCTGATTAGTGATTCTTTGTGTTTAGGGTTTGATAACCTTGTATACCTCACAAGAATTTTGTGGATTGAATGAAGCAGGTAATACCCTTGTTTTGTAGATGCACGAGGAAAATGAAGATGAAAGAAATTGTGTTCTTACTGAAGGTTAAGAACTTTAAGGCAGTGCTAGAATTAGAACCCAGGTCTCTTGAGTCATTGCTTATTTTTCTTTCCATTATACCATGCTGTATTAGATATTGAATGTATATAAGGAGATAGATGCTAACCTTTGAATACTGTGATTTCTTTACATAAAGAGATATGTATGTGCGTAACACGATATTATTTAAATAGTGTCACTATTTGAAATTCTACCTTTGTAGAAGATGTTGGGGTACTTTTATTCAGTGAATTTTTTTCTTTTTTATATGTGGTATGATATATAGAATGTTTTAATGTTTGGCCTTTTTTTTACAGTTGATTTCCAGTAGCAGTAACCAGTGTTAGCAATTGAATTAATGTTCTTCCGTGCCGTTCTTGACACTCATACAAACATAGGTTCACATTTATGAGGTTTTTTCCCCAACTTGATATATGTGAATATCTGTCAGTCTCAGTCTATTGCTAGACATCAGGTTTTTTCCAGTTCTTCTGCTACTTTGTAGAAATTTTCCGTGCACTTGTATCTTTAATATTAGAGTGAGCACTTAAACAGATATTTATATATCAGCACAAACTGAGGCTAAGAATGGTATGAATGCCCAAGGTCACATTGTTGGTTGACCCAACTTTTTTTTGTTGTTGTTAACTATTGGTTTTTGTGGGTAGTCTAAAGCCTTCTCTAGCTCTCACTTGAAAATAATCTGAAATATTAGAAAGTGCTCAGACTTTGGAAAAAGATGTTGGTTTTAATTAGTTTTCTGGCAAATACTAGCTGTAGTGAATTTAGGCAAGCCACTTAACATCTCAAAGCCTCTTCCAGTAAATTCTTGCCTTGCAGGGTGTATTAGTCAGTTTTTGTTGCTTATAACAAAATACATGGAACTGGGTATTTTATAAAGAAAAACGACATTTATTGCTTACAGTTTCTGCGGCTGGGAAGTCCAGAGTCCGTTTGGTGGTGGCGACAGTGACCCAGTGGTCTCATATTGCAAGATGGTGGAAGTCGAGAGAGCAGAGAGAGAGAGAGAATGACAGACTTTCCTCTTCTTTTAAATCCCTCAGAACCACTCCCCTGGCTACCATTTTTAATCCATTCACTACTGCATGGTCCTACAATCCAATTACCTCTTCAAGGCCCCACCTTTTAATTACCATAATAGGATTTCCCACCCTCTTAACAGTCACAGTGGGGGCTAAGTTTCTAATACATAAACTTGGTGGACACAATTTCAGTTTCAGGAAGATTTGGGGGGACAATATTCAATCCACTACACAAGGATTAGAGAAAATGCATTTAAAGCACTTTACATAGAAGACACTGGTAAATATGGTTGTTTTTTGTATTGTGATAATAATGGCACAGAACTCATAGAGTGTGCCAGGTAGTATATTAATTGTATCTCTTTTTGGGCCAGAGAATTCTTTGTTGTCAGGGGTTATCCTTTGCAATGTTTATCAGCATCCCTGGCCTCTACCCACTAGATACTAGTAGCAAACCATCCTCACCCCAGTGACAATAATGACAATAAAAACAATGTCTGTAGGCATTGACATATGTTCCATGGGGGTCAAAGTTGCCCTAGTTGAGACCATTGTCCTAGAAGAAGAGTATGTTTGGGGAAGAGGGAAGGGGAGGTGACTCTGAGATAATTGAAAATATACAATGGAATTTAGCAGAAGGATCAGAATTAAAGATGTGATTTGAAAGTCATGCTATGTGTTAGTTATTTACTTTCCCAGAAAAATAAAAAGTGTACAGTAAGAAAAAAAGAGGGTTAAGAACAGAGCTAGGGAAACTTAACAGTTGTGTGAAAAGAGTGGATGAAGAGAAGTAAGAGATTGAGAGAAACAGTCATAGGGTGCTGATTCAATGAAAATAAACTCTTGAAACTTTTTAAAATTATCAAAGTAATATGCTCCCATTGTAAATAATTGGGGAATTAAAGGGAGTAAGAGGATTTTGGCTATGAGATTTATTAGTTTTACCATTTCAATTTGTTATGTCTTATTGCCCCCAATTGTGCATTCCTTTTAGTTAATATTTTATTTAATGACGAAGGAAAAAATGAATTATTTTGTTTTCTGAAGAAAAGAATTTCTTATTTCAGGTTGCCGAGGAGCCCAAGTAGAAGAAATATGGAGTTTAGAGCCTGAAAATTTTGAAAAATTAAAGTAAGTATAATTGTAGTTGTGTTAAAAATAGTAGTATGTCTATAATTTAACAAACTTTTAAAGGATACCCAGATCTGTTTATCTATTTTACTTGGGTTACCATAGGTTGAATATTTTATCTCCTGTAAATCTCTTCCAGTCCTGTGAGATATGTATTATTATTATTTACATTTTATAACCGAGAACCTAGGGCTCATGTAACTTGCAAGGGATTCAAATCAAAGTCTCTGTATTTCCATATCCACAAAGTACCAGTTGGTTGATTTTTCACAAAATTCACTTATAGATCAATACTGTTAGAACATGGAACATATTTTAACATAAAAAGCATGAATAATAGGTCAGTCTACAAAAGCATATTTAATAGATAATGTATAGTAATTATAATTCAGAACTTGTCTACAAATTTTCACGTTGCTTCTGGAATGTTACAGTTTAAGTTTCAAACACAGATGACAGGAAGAACCTTCGCCTTCCCCCATCTTTCTGACCAGAGTTACCTCTCTGAGACTCTCCCTACGCCTTATCTCCATGTCTTCAAGCATTGACCTTGTATCTGCAAATGGAGAGCTAAAGGAGTTTTCATTGGTGGGAGAATTCTTATAGCCTTGGAATAGAGACAAAGAATAGGCTTTTAAATGGGAAAATGGGGTCTTAAGGATGTGGCTACTGTTTTTAATAGTAAGAAGGAGAGTTTGCTTCTTCCCACCTTTTCTCCACAAAAAGAGCAATCACTTTAGATGAAATAAGAGATCCGTTCTGGCTGAGATTAGGGAAGGTTAATTAAAGATGCACCATTTGAACTGTCTTTAAAAAGATAGGAAAGATTGATGCCTGTACTGGTCAGCCGCCAAAAAAAAAAAAAAAACATAGGAAAGATTTTTGTTGAGTGGAAAGCAGTTGTGAAAGATAGACTGGAGGGAATCCTAAACTAGTGATTAAACATTCCATATGCAACAAACGATTTTTTTAGGAAAGTGAATGAATTCATTATGTATGAGGTAACAGCATCCATTCATCCTGTAGTTTGAGGATTTTTCATGAATCCAATAATTATATGAAGGTGACTTTTTATATTTAATAATATTTATGATTTCAGCCATTTATCTTTATACATCCTACATGAACTTTATTCATATATCTTGGAATTCAGTCTGGGGTTAACAGCTTCTAGTTTTGCAATGTTATTTTCTGTTTTTTGGTTGTTGTTTTTTTTTGCGTTTAGTCAGTACAAGAATACAAACCCTTGACCTTGATGTTTTTGTTGACTCTGAGCTCTAACCAAATGAGCTAAATGGCTAGCCTTACTTTCTGTTTTTAGGTGAGGTGATACAAGGTAGAAATGAATAGTCCGTACATGAGAATAGACCTTTCATTATAATTCTATTTTGACTGATGTAATTTTAAGTTTTACTAGCCTCATCTAAGGCAACATTCTAGTGCATATGAATGGCAATAGCAATTTCTAAAAAAATTCTCATATTAATTAATTTACTTCATTTGCATTGTATTTGTTAAATAGCTGACTAAAATGTGTAAAATATAATATATTAACAATGTTTATTTAAAAAGCAGGGTTTGGCATTACTAATTTGTATTTTATTTTGTAGGCCAGTTCATGGGTTAATTTTTCTTTTCAAGTGGCAGCCAGGAGAAGAACCAGCAGGCTCTGTGGTTCAGGACTCCAGACTTGACACGATATTTTTTGCCAAGCAGGTATGGTCCTTGGGTTCTCTGAAAAAGCTCAAGAACAACCCTTGTTTATGACTTTAGTCTACCTATGTGCCTCTAGTGTAGCAGTCCTTAAACTTTTTTCTCTCAGGACCCCTTTACACTCTTAAAAATTATTAAGATCTCCAAAGAGCTTTTGTTTATGGGATCACCTATCAATATTTACCATATTAGACATTAGAACTAAAACATTTTTTGAAAAGTATCCATTTAAAAATAACAGTAAACTCATAACATGTTAACATAAATAACATATTTTAATGGAAAATAACCATACTTACCAAAATGAAAGAATTAGTGAGAAGAGTGCATTGTTTCACATTTTCACAACTCTAAATATCTGGCTTCATAGCACATGGCTAGATTCTCCTCTGCTTCTTCATTAAGTCTGTGTTTTGCAGTGTTTTTGTTTTGTTTTGCTTTTGGTTGAAATATTTGAAGAAAATCCAGTCTCACATGTATGGAAGGAGTATTATCTTTTTCAGGTAATTGTTATATTCTTTGATACTATATCAAAATTGCAAAAGTGTTGCTTTCTTAAAGGTTAGTACAATCTGAAATTTGTACTTTGCTATGTTAAAATCTTTTGGATTATTTTGCCCTTCAAGTGGTTCCTTTAATCCTGCATAATTTTGTAACATTGTTCATTGGCCATTTGGAAAACTTACCAGTTTATGCACATCTTCCAAGTGTTGACACATTTGATATGATTTGATAATGGCAACAGGTTCATTTGTTAATAAAAACATCTATATCATCAAAAAAGTTAAGTATCACGAAACTTTTAAGCACACAGTGGCAGATCTAAATTTTACAAAATTCTAATTTTCACTTAACTGTTCAAATTTTATCAATGGCAACAAATACCATCAGTTGTTTTCCTTGTAGCCAGAGACTCATTTCACTCATTTTCAAGAAAATATTGGCCAAATAGGCTTGTCTGAAAACTATACTTGTCTGTCATTTGTTTTTTCAAGTAATAATGATGTTCCAAGAAAAAAGCTGCCAATTTAGTTCACAACTCAATCACACAAGTGCCTTTCCTCAAGATAACTAGCGTATCTTAGTATGTAGCAGAAGTTCTTCATTTGTACTTCCTGTTTCATTCCACAGAATGTTAAAGACTTATATACACCAAAGTCGAAATTTAATAAAAATAACTTTTACTGCTTTATTAGAGACATTCTTCAGTAAAACTGGCTTTTTCTTTTTTTTAACTATGTGTATCAGTGAAACAGTTTAATGTCACTGCCTAGAGTCATGCTAAAATACCAGCAGTTTTACATACTGTTGCTTTTGCGTCATCAGTGCTAATGGGAAAACAGGGGAAAGGCAAAAACTGTTTTAGAATTATGACGGAAACAATTTTGAGCTCACGAAGTCCTTGGAAAGGGTCTTAGGAATCCTAGAGATCCGTGGATCACACTTTGAGAACTATTTTTCTAATGTATATAGTGTATAGAAAAATGGAGTTTAACTCACATTGTTAGGCCTCCATATATATGGCCTGTTGTTTGGAAAAGCTGAAAAACAGAATGATTAAAGTTAGGTAACCTGATTGATTAGTTTGATTAATGTTTAAAACCCAAGCTAAGTATGATTGCATTTGTTTGAAAAGTGCTCTTATTTCTGAGACCCAAAAAATTGCTTAGAATAATTTAGTTAACTTTTAGAAAGGTGGAAAAATAAAACTGCTTATTCTTATTACTAACCTTTACATCAAGCCTTTGTTATTATCCTTAGTAAATTGTTGTCCTTTTTTCTCTTATTTTACTGCTTTTTCCATTTTCTACTGACTTTTTTGAATTGAATGTTTTTAGAGAAATTAGAACTTTCTTGCTTTACTATAAGAAAAATATGGCTTTATTGTAGTTAAAAACTTTTTTTTTCTGATACTAGAACTTACATTACAGAAATATATAGTGATGAAAGTGAATGCCCTTGTAATTTCACACCCATCTCTATTAACCACTTTTAACAGTTTGACTCATTCATTTAATCAACAGGTCGTTATTGAGCACCTACTTTGTGCTAGGCATTGTTTTAAGTGCTAGGTATATAATGGTTAATAGGCATGACTCTTCTTATTAATAACAACCATAGTGATAATAATACCAATGGTAGCCAACATTTACCATTCTTGTTGTGTGCCAGATACTGTGCTTTAAATACATTATTTATTTAATCCTTGTAACAAGCCCATGAGGTTGTTATCCTCATTTCACAGATGAAGAAATTAAGTCCTGGAGAAATTAAGTTATTTGCCTGAGGTTACACAGATAATATGTGGTAGATCCAGAACTTAAACCCAGGTCTAAAACCCAGCTGTGTGTTTCCACATGCCATGCTACCTCCCACATTTTCTGTTCATATGCTAATGTATTCTTATAATTTTTTATTAAAATCTGATTATTCAAAATATTTTATATCTTTTTTACCTAATGATAAATATTTGACTTTGTTCCATTTGAGTAGATGTAAAAAATATTAATTAACATTTATTGAAAGCTTATTAAGTACTTTTATATATTTTTTAGAATTATTAATTTGTTTGTAGTAACTGATTGCACAGCAACTATGGGTTTTAAAGTTTCCTCCTCATTTTACAGGTGTGGAACCTGAGTTCCAGAGGGGTTAAAAATCTTGCCCAAATTACACAGGTAGTCAATGGCAGAGCTGGGGTGCAAAACTAGGCACTGTGGCTCTGAAACCTATACTCTAACCTTGTTACAACACTACCTCTTTTTTTTTTTTTTTTTTTTTTTTTTTTTTTTTTTTTTTCTTTTTTTCGTGACCGGCAAC